AAGATTCATCTTTCTTTGTTGCTGCAACCCAAAACAATCTGTTTGGCTTTGTTCAGGCTTATTAGTCTTCGCTTTGCTATTTGTGGGGACAGAACACCGAAAGAACAATGCATGCTTATTCGTCCTCTTTCTATTGAGATGGAACCAAAACACCTATGCTTGGTTTGGGCTGATAATAAACATGTCACTCTGCGATTTTTGGGTGATTGGCATTCTAACCCCAAAAACCAATTTGAAATAAGCCCAATCAGAGCTTTATCTTCTTCTTTTTATGTAGCTGGAACCCAAAAGGCCTTTTTACTTTGGTTGGGGGTGATTCTGGTGCACTCCCATAAAATCCCATGCGAATTGAAATAAGCACAATCAAAGCTTATTTGTCTTCTTTCTATGCGTATGGAAGCGAAAAGACGGTGTTGTGTTATTTTGGTCTCATTACACACACTTTGCGATTTCTGGGTCAATGTGCATTAACACCAAAGAACACGAAATAAGCAAAATCCAAGATTCTTCTTTCTATGTTGCTGCAACCCAATAGAACCTGTTTGGCTTTGTTTAGGCTTATTACACTTCGCTTTGCTTTTTGTGGGGAACTGAACACCGAAAGAACAATGCAAGCTTATTCGTCCTCTATTGAGATGGAACCAAAACACCTATGCTTGGTTTCGGCTGATAATAAACATGTCACTCTGCGATTTTTGGGTGATTGTGCATTCTAACCGCAAAAACACCAATTTGAAATAAGCCCAATCAGAGCTTTATCTTCTTCTTTTTATGTAGCTGGAACCCAAAAGAACTTTTTACTTTGGTTGGCGGTGATTCTGGTGCACACCCATAAAACCCCATGCGAATTGAAATAAGCACAATCAAAGCTTATTTGTCTTCTTTCTACGCATATGGAAGCGAAAAGACAGTGTAATTTTATTTTGGTCTCATTACACACACTTTGCGATTTCTGGGTCAATGTGCATTAACACCAAAGAACACGAAATAAGCAAAATCCAAGATTCTTCTTTCTATGTTGCTGCAACCCAAAACAACCTGTTTGGCTTTGTTTAGGCTTATTACACTTTCCTTTGCTATTTGTGGGGGCTGAACACCGAAAGAACAATGCAAGCTTATTCGTCCTCTTTCTATTGAGATGGAACCAAAACACCTATGCTTGGTTTGGTCTGATAATAAACATGTCACTCTGCGATTTTTGGGTGAATGTGCATTCTAACCCCAAAAACACCAATTTGAAATAAGCCCAATCAGAGCTTTATTATCTTCTTTTGATGTAGTTGGAAGCCAAAACACCTTTTGCTTTGGTTGGGGGTGATTCTGGTGCACACCCAAAAAACACCATGCGAATAGAAATAAGCACAAATAAAGCGTATTCGTCTACTTTCTACGCGTATGGAAGCGAAAAGACGGTGTTGTGTTATTTTGGTCTCAATACACACACTTTGAGATTTCTGGGTCAATGTGCATTAACACCAACGAACACGAAATAAGCGAAATCCAAGATTCTTCTTTCTATGTTGCTGCAATCCAAAACAACCTGTTTGGCTTTGTTTAGGCTTATTACACTTTGCTATTTGTGGGGGACTGAACACCGAAAGAACAATGCAAGCTTATTTGTCCTCTTTCTATTGAGATGGAACCTAAACACCTATGCTTGGTTTGGTCTGATAATAAAGATGTCACTCTGCGATTTTTGGGTGAATGTGCATTCTAACCCCAAACACACCAATTTGAAATAAGCCCAATCAGAGCTTTATCTTCTTTTTATGTAGATGGCACCCAAAAGACCTTTTTGCTTTGGTTGGGGGTGATTCTGATGAACACCCATAAAACCCCATGCGAATTGAAATAAGCCCAATCAAAGGTTATTTGTCTGCTTTCTAGGCATATGGAAGCGAAAAGACAATGTGCTGTTATTTTGGTCTCATTACACACACTTTGCGATTTCTGGGTCAATGTGCATTAACACCAAAGAACACGAAATAAGCAAAATCCAAGATTCATCTTTCTTTGTTGCTGCAACCCAAAACAATCTGTTTGGCTTTGTTCAGGCTTATTAGTCTTCGCTTTGCTATTTGTGGGGGACAGAACACCGAAAGAACAATGCATGCTTATTCGTCCTCTTTCTATTGAGATGGAACCAAAACACCTATGCTTGGTTTGGGCTGATAATAAACATGTCACTCTGCGATTTTTGGGTGATTGGCATTCTAACCCCAAAAACACCGATTTGAAATAAGCCCAATCAGAGCTTTATCTTCTTCTTTTTATGTAGCTGGAACCCAAAAGGCCTTTTTACTTTGGTTGGGGGTGATTCTGGTGCACTCCGATAAAACCCCATGCGAATTGAAATAAGCACAATCAAAGCTTATTTGTCTTCTTTCTACGCATATGGAAGCGAAAAGACAGTGTAATTTTATTTTGGTCTCATTACACACACTTTGCGATTTCTGGGTCAATGTGCATTAACACCAAAGAAGACGAAATAAGCAAAATCCAAGATTCATCTTTCTTTGTTGCTGCAACCCAAAACAATCTGTTTGGCTTTGTTCAGGCTTATTAGTCTTCGCTTTGCTATTTGTGGGGGACAGAACACCGAAAGAACAATGCATGCTTATTCGTCCTCTTTCTATTGCGATGGAACCAAAACACCTATGCTTGGTTTGGTCTGATAATAATGATGTCACTCTGCGATTTTTGGGTGAATGTGCATTCTAACCCCAAACACACCAATTTGAAATAAGCCCAATCAGAGCTTTATCATCTTCTTTTTATGTAGATGGAACCCAAAAGACCTTTTTGTTTTAGTTGGGGGTGATTCTGGTGTACACCCATAAAACCCCATGCGAATTGAAATAAGCACAATCAAAGGTTATTTGTCTTCTTTCTAGGCATAGGGAAGCGAAAAGACAATGTGCTGTTATTTTGGTCTCATTACACACACTTTGCGATTTCTGGGTCAATGTGCATTAACACCAAAGAAGACGAAATAAGCAAAATCCAAGATTCATCTTTCTTTGTTGCTGCAACCCAAAACAATCTGTTTGGCTTTGTTCAGGCTTATTAGTCTTCGCTTTGCTATTTGTGGGGGACAGAACACCGAAAGAACAATGCATGCTTATTCGTCCTCTTTCTATTGAGATGGAACCAAAACACCTATGCTTGGTTTGGGCTGATAATAAACATGTCACTCTGCGATTTTTGGGTGATTGGCATTCTAACCCCAAAAACACCAATTTGAAATAAGCCCAATCAGAGCTTTATCTTCTTCTTTTTATGTAGCTGGAACCCAAAAGGCCTTTTTACTTTGGTTGGGGGTGATTCTGGTGCACTCCCATAAAACCCCATGCGAATTGAAATAAGCACAATCAAAGCTTATTTGTCTTCTTTCTACGCATATGCAAGCGAAAGGACAGTGTTATTTTATTTTGGTCTCATTACACACACTTTGAGATTTCTGGGTCAATGTGCATTAACACCAAAGAACACGAGTTGAAATAAGCGAAATCAAAGATTCTTCGTTCTATGTAGCTGGTACCCAAAAGAACCTGTTTGGCTTTGTTTAGGATTATTACAATTCGCTTTGCTATTTGTGAGTGAATGAACACCGAAAGAACAATCCAAGCTTATTCGTCCTCTTTCTATTGAGATGGAACCAAAACACCTATTGTCAGAGCTGGCTCCAGGTCCCAGCTCACAGAGGACCAACGCTAGCCGGCAGTAATGTACAAAAGTCTTTATTGAAGTACAGTTTCCATTTTCAAGCCGGAGCGCCCCAGCTCTACGTCTAGGGGTTAGATCGGCGAAGCTCCATCTGAGTCTCCGCCCCTGTACACCAGTTTAAGATTCTAGCCTTACTCCACCTCTTACGTCTCTCCTTTCTCCTCTGGGTCCTGCTACCCCCCGGGGTCCCTTCCTTCCTGGATTCTTCTGACGCTGACCCCCCTGACTCCTCCCCCTCTTTCGGCGGGCTTTGGGACCTGGCTCCCTATCCGGGCTGCCAACTGCGCCTCCCTCCTGGACCGTTGAACTGGGCGCGCGCGCCCAGCCTTCAACCTTCCTCTCGACCGTTTCCTCGCTCCCCGATGGAGGCGTGGCCAATCCTGACTCATGTCCTCCCACTGGCAGTGCGCCGCCTGATCCCGATGCCTGGGACTCCTCACCCCTACTGCACTCTGGTGTGGACGCTGGTCCTGATTTCCAACTGCTGCTCTCTGAGTCCCCTCTGGCCCCTTCTTCCTGGGGTGTCCCCTCGGCACCCCCTTGCTCTGACCAAGGGAGCCCCTTTCTGTGAATCTTCCGATTCGCTGGAAAGACTCAGAGACCTCGGACCGCTGTCATCGCTAACATTTCCTTCGGACTCCTCCCCCTCGCTCTCTATTTCCTCCCTTTCCTGTGCCTCTGCTCCTGAACCCCTGACACCTATGCTTGGTTTGGTCTGATGATAACCATGTCGCTCTGCGATTTTTGGGTGAATGTGCATTCTAACCCCAAAACCACCAATTTGAAATAAGCCCAATCAGAGCTTTATTATCTTCTTTTGATGTAGTTGGAAGCCAAAACACCTTTTGCTTTGGTTGGGGGTGATTCTGGTGCACACCCAAAAAACACTATGCGAATAGAAATAAGCACAAATAAAGCTTATTCGTCTACTTTCTACGCGTATGGAAGCGAAAAGACGGTGTTGTGTTATTTTGGTCTCAATACACACACTTTGAGATTTCTGGGTCAATGTGCATTAACACCAACGAACACGAAATAAGCGAAATCCAAGATTCTTCTTTCTATGTTGCTGCAATCCAAAACAACCTGTTTGGCTTTGTTTAGGCTTATTACACTTTGCTATTTGTGGGGGACTGAACACCGAAAGAACAATGCAAGCTTATTTGTCCTCTTTCTATTGAGATGGAACCTAAACACCTATGCTTGGTTTGGTCTGATAATAAAGATGTCACTCTGCGATTTTTGGGTGAAAGTGCATTCTAACGCCAAACACACCAATTTGAAATAAGCCCAATCAGAGCTTTATCTTCTTCTTTTTATGTAGCTGGAACCCAAAAGACCTTTTCGCTCAGGTTGGGGGTGATTCTGGTGCAGATGGAACCCAAAAGATCTTTTTGCTTTGGTTGGGGGTGATTCTGGTGCACACCCATAAAACCCCATGCGAATTGAAATAAGCACAATCAAAGCTTATTTGTCTTCTTTCTACGCGTATGGAAGCGAAAAGACAATGTTGTGTTATTTTGGTCTCATTACACACACTTTGAGATTTCTGGGTCAATGTGCATTAACACCAAAGAACACGACTTGAAATAAGCGAAATCAAAGATTCTTCGTTCTATGTTGCTGCAACCCAATACAACCTGTTTGGCTTTGTTCAGGCTTTGCTATTTGTGGGGACAGAACACCGAAAGAACAATGCAAGGTTATTCGTCCTCTTTCTATTGAGATGGAACCAAAACACCTATGCTTGGTTTGGTCTGATAATAAAGATATCACTGCGATTTTTGGGTGAATGTGCATTCTAACCCCAAACACACCAATTTGAAATAAGCCCAATCAGAGCTTTATCTTCTTTTTATGTAGATGGCACCCAAAAGACCTTTTTGCTTTGGTTGGGGGTGATTCTGATGAACACCCATAAAACCCCATGCGAATTGAAATAAGCACAATCAAAGGTTATTTGTCTGCTTTCTAGGCATATGGAAGCGAAAAGACAATGTGCTGTTATTTTGGTCTCATTACACACACTTTGCGATTTCTGGGTCAATGTGCATTAACACCAAAGAACACGAAATAAGCAAAATCCAAGATTCATCTTTCTTTGTTGCTGCAACCCAAAACAATCTGTTTGGCTTTGTTCAGGCTTATTAGTCTTCGCTTTGCTATTTGTGGGGGACAGAACACCGAAAGAACAATGCATGCTTATTCGTCCTCTTTCTATTGAGATGGAACCAAAACACCTATGCTTGGTTTGGGCTGATAATAAACATGTCACTCTGCGATTTTTGGGTGATTGGCATTCTAACCCCAAAAACCAATTTGAAATAAGCCCAATCAGAGCTTTATCTTCTTCTTTTTATGTAGCTGGAACCCAAAAGGCCTTTTTACTTTGGTTGGGGGTGATTCTGGTGCACTCCCATAAAATCCCATGCGAATTGAAATAAGCACAATCAAAGCTTATTTGTCTTCTTTCTACGCATATGGAAGCGAAAAGACAGTGTGATTTTATTTTGGTCTCATTACACACACTTTGCGATTTCTGGGTCAATGTGCATTAACACCAAAGAACACGAAATAAGCAAAATCGAAGATTCATCTTTCTTTGTTGCTGCAACCCAAAACAATCTGTTTGGCTTTGTTCAGGCTTATTAGTCTTCGCTTTGCTATTTGTGGGGGACAGAACACCGAAAGAACAATGCATGCTTATTCGTCCTCTTTCTATTGAGATGGAACCAAAACACCTATGCTTGGTTTGGGCTGATAATAAACATGTCACTCTGCGATTTTTGGGTGATTGGCATTCTAACCCCAAAAACACAAATTTGAAATAAGCCCAATCAGAGCTTTATCATCTTCTTTTTATGTAGATGAAACCCAACAGAACTTTCTGCTTTGGTTGGGGGTGATTCTGGTGCACACCCATAAAACCCCATGCGAATTGAAATAAGCACAATCAAAGCTTATTTGTCTTCTTTCTACGCATATGGAAGCGAAAAGACAGTGTTATTTTATTTTGGTCTCATTACACACACTTTGAGATTTCTGGGTCAATGTGCATTAACACCAAAGAACACGACTTGAAATAAGCGAAATCAAAGATTCTTCGTTCTATGTAGCTGGTACCCAAAAGAACCTGTTTGGCTTTTTTTAGGATTATTACAATTCGCTTTGCTATTTGTGAGTGAATGAACACCGAAAGAACAATCCAAGCTTATTTGTCCTCTTTCTATTGAGATGGAACCATAACACCTATGCTTGGTTTGGTCTGATAATAACCATGTCGCTCTGCGATTTTTGGGTGAATGTGCATTCTAACCCCAAAACCACCAATTTGAAATAAGCCCAATCAGAGCTTTATCATCTTCTTTTGATGTAGTTGGAAGCCAAAACACCTTTTGCTTTGGTTGGGGGTGATTCTGGTGCACACCCAAAAAACACCATGCGAATAGAAATAAGCACAAATAAAGCTTATTCGTCTACTTTCTACGCGTATGGAAGCGAAAAGACGGTGTTGTGTTATTTTGGTCTCAATACACACACTTAGAAATTTCTGGGTCAATGTGCCAACGAACACGAAATAAGCAAAATCCAAGATTCTTCTTTCTATGTTGCTGCAACCCAAAACAACCTGTTTGGCTTTGTTTAGGCTTATTACACTTTGCTATTTGTGGGGGACTGAACACCGAAAGAACAATGCATGCTTATTCGTCCTCTTTCTATTGAGATGGAACCAAAACACCTATGCTTGGTTTGGGCTGATAATAAACATGTCACTCTGCGATTTTTGGGTGATTGTGCATTCTAACCCCAAAAACACCAATTTGAAATAAGCCCAATCAGAGCTTTATCTTCTTCTTTTTATGTAGCTGGAACCCAAAAGACCTTTTTACTTTGGTTGGGGGTGATTCTGGTGCACTCCCATAAAACCCCATGCGAATTGAAATAAGCACAATCAAAGCTTATTTGTCTGCTTTCTACGCATATGGAAACGAAAAGACAGTGTAATTTTATTTTGGTCTCATTACACACACTTTGAGATTTCTGGGTCAATGTGCATTAACACCAAAGAACACGACTTGAAATAAGCGAAATCAAAGATTCTTCGTTCTATGTAGCTGGTACCCAAATGAATCTATTTAGCTTTGCTTAGGCTGATTACAATTCGCTTTGCTATTTGTGAGTGAATGAACACCGAAAGAACAATCCAAGCTTATTTGTCCTCTTTCTATTGAGATGGAACCAAAACACCTATGCTTGGTTTGGTCTGATAATAAAGATGTCACTCTGCGATTTTTGGGTGAAAGTGCATTCTAACCCCAAACACACCAATTTGAAATAAGCCCTATCAGAGCTTTATCTTCTTTTTATGTAGATGGAACCCAAAAGACCTTTTTGTTTTCGTTGGGGGTGATTCTGGTGCACACCTAAAAAACACCACGCGATTTGAAATAAGCACAATCAAAGCTGATTTGTCTTCTTTCTACGCATATGGAAGCGAAAAGACAGTGTTATTTTATTTTGGTCTCATTACACACACCTTGAGATTTCTGGGTCAATGTGCATTAACACCAGACTTGAAATAAGCAATATCCAAGATTCTTCGTTCTATGTAGCTGGTACCCAAAAGAACCTATTTAGCTTTGTTTAGGCTTATTACAATTCGCTTTGCTATTTGTGAGTGAATGAACACCGAAAGAACAATCCAAGCTTATTCGTCCTCTTTCTATTGAGATGGAACCAAAACACCTATGCTTGGTTTGGTCTGATAATAACCATGTCGCTCTGCGATTTTTGGGTGAATGTGCATTCTAACCCCAAAAACACCAATTTGAAATAAGCCCAATCAGAGCTTTATTATCTTCTTTTTATGTAGTAGGAGGCCAAAACACCTTTTGCTTTGGTTGGGGGTGATTCTGGTGCACACCCAAAAAACACCATGCGAATAGAAATAAGCACAATCAAAGCTTATTCGTCTACTTTCTAGCCGTATGGAAGCGAAAAGACGGTGTTGTGTTATTTTGGTCTCAATACACACACTTTGAGATTCCTGGGTCAATGTGCATTAACACCAACGAACACGAAATAAGCAAGTCCAAGATTCTTCTTTCTATGTTGCTGCAATCCAAAACAACCTGTTTGGCTTTGTTTAGGCTTATTACACTTTGCTATTTGTGGGGGACTGAACACCGAAAGAACAATGCAAGCTTATTTGTCCTCTTTCTATTGAGATGGAACCTAAACACCTATGCTTGGTTTGGTCTGATAATAAAGATGTCACTCTGCGATTTTTGGGTGAAAGTGCATTCTAACCCCAAACACACCAATTTGAAATAAGCCCAATCAGAGCGTTATCTTCTTCTTTTTATGTAGCTGGAACCCAAAAGACCTTTTTACTTTGGTTGGGGGTGATTCTGGTGCACTCCCAAAAAACACCATGCGAATTGAAATAAGCACAATCAAAGCTTATTCGTTCACTTTCTACGCGTATGGAAGCGAAAAGACGGTGTTGTGTTATTTTGGTCTCAATACACACACTTTGAGATTTCTGGGTCAATGTGCCAACGAACACGAAATAAGCAAAATCCAAGATTCTTCTTTCTATGTTGCTGCAACCCAAAACAACCTGTTTGGCTTTATTACACTTTGCTATTTGTGGGGCACTGAACACCGAAAGAACAATGCAAGCTTATTTGTCCTCTTTCTATTGAGATGGAACCTAAACACCTATGCTTGGTTTGGTCTGATAATAAAGATGTCACTCTGCGATTTTTGGGTGAATGTGCACCGCAAACACACCAATTTGAAATAAGCCCAATCAGAGCTTTATCATCTTCTTTTTATGTAGATGGAACCCAAAAGACCTTTTCGCTTTGGTTGGGGGGGATTCTGGTGCAGATGGAACCCAAAAGACCTTTTCGCTTTGGTTGGGGGT